GTGACCCAAAGAGTGACTTCCGCATCATGTAAAAAATATTGATGGTTGATGAGTCGAAATGTAATGAAGAATTGGGTTGTGCACACCACTATGCGCAAAGTTTCTCACAACAGACATCTAGCCAACAAAGTCTGGACACCGCGTTCGCAGTTGCAGTTTGTGGGAGCAACAAGTCCTGTATTTGTGACAGTCATCACAGTCATTCTTATTCCACATGGTCTTCGTCCCCATTGCAGCTCAATTTTGCACTGTCAAGGACTGATCTGTTTTTTGCCATCTGTGGAGTCCAGTATTCTTTGCTGTAGTGCCTGCCAAGCTCTCGCCCGTAAGAAGATCTTGTTTATAGGATCTTTTCTTGATTCTTTCTCCTTATCGTTGTAAACTAGTTCCAATCAGCATTTTCTTTGTTGTCCTTATTTTTACATGCTAGGTGTAACATTCTCATTAAATCATACTTGTTTATTTGTTCCTTATATGAGTGTGATCTTGTTTGATTTGTTTGTTGCATCGGAGAAATTCAAGCTTTGGAATAATTACTATTAAGATAGCTTGGAGCTTTTCGGATCCTAACAGTTGTAATTGTCTGTGATACGTCTATGGGGCAGGTGATGAATCTTGTTTTGTTGCAAACACCCTTGTTTTGTGTAAACACCTTTGCTTCATGTACAAGTGGTGCAACTTTTAAAAAAATTCCTGAATATTGAAAATATATGCAAATACAAAACAGATCAAGTTCTGTGAAATAATCTGCTGATATCTTAAGGTAGAGGGTTTGTGGATACACCATATGGAAATTTTTTGAGTATGTGTGGTTCTGAAAAGAACCCGTTACTTGACGTTTCAGACAGTGAGTGCTCTGTCCGTCTTCAGGAATGATGCGATCCTACTGTGCTACTGCTTACATGCTGTGGGTGATCACTGGGGCATGGGATTGGGATCCAAGCTATATAAATAAATATATTTTCACTGTTTTGAGTACAAACTTCATTGTTTTCACAAGTTTTTTACGTAAAAGGGTCACTGACAGGAGTTTTGTCAAGGCAGGAAAGACACTAGGATTTGTAAAAAAATGAGAAATAAATTTCAACCCGCACAAAAAAAGTTTAGGGTCAGTTGGTTAACCGGTAACAGAATTTTTGGGGGCCTTCAGTTTATGAGAACCCTGTAGTAACCCCTGACATTACTGGAAAAGTAAAAGCTCGTTAGAAGACTCAGATAACCCAATGCTGCAATTCTTTATACTTAACTAAAACTGTCTTACCTTGAACGTTGAGAAAGGCATGTGCAGAGTACACTGCCCCACCAGCATTTTCCACTCGACACCGATAAATGCCGCCATCAGAAGCCCCGATAATAGGGATCCGCAGGTTGAAGTTGCTCTTGATTATGTAATGTGAACTGTTCTTAGGGATGTCATGTCCATCTTTCATCCATGTGACCTGTAACCTCTGGCCCACAGGCTGACAGCGGAAAGTCACACGTTCACCCACAGCAACCGTCTTGTTCTCTGGGCTGCGCAGGATCAACGGGAGTGCTAGGAGGAGACAAGAAAAAAAGATTCCCTTAAGGAACTGAGCTACTTCTTAGCCTCTTTGACCAAAGATAAATTGATAATACAGCAAATCACAGAGTCATTTCTAAGAGAGATGAACATTCCCACTGTATATCCGTCATTTTGGAACAACTTAAAGGGTTCTTTTTGTTATATTGGTTACAAGGTCCAATGCTCTAACATTAACAATTCAGTATCTCAAGGTCTCTTTTAGTATAATCCAAACTGAGAGATTTACCCATAGGTTGTCCCGTTATCTTGGATGACACTTGAACATTCCCAGGTTGCCTTGGTTTTTCTGGCGAAGAAACAAGGTAATACCAACATTCAGACAAATTTATAACAGTAAAATTCTTTGGATATCCAAGCAAATTTGAGAACACTTCAAATGTATGATAACACTAAGTTTTCAAATTTTGCGGTCTGTCAGTGTTTTTTTTCTATCGTTTCAAGTGTAACATTCACATTGAAGTGCAAACAATATTATTAACCCTAACAATCCCTAACAAGTCAAACTTCAACACCAGTAAGGTGTTTGAATTTGTGAAATTAGGTACTGGGAACTTGCCATATGGTATTGGATTGTGACTAAATAGGTACTGTGGCCCTCTCACTTTTTACAATCAAAAATTTCAAATGAGTACTTTACTTTTAAAGATTATGTAATGATAGAAAGCTTCCCATTGAAATGGTAGGTATGTAATATTGTGTAATAATTACTATAACAAGGACAAATTTCCTTGTTTCTGATCACAATGATCCCAGCAGTTGGGGATGGATATGCAGCATGATGGTGTGTGAGTTTGTCTGAATAGGTACTGCCTGTCCATACTCTTTGTACCTTAAAGTTAGGCCTGCTGTACCCAATCAAACAAAATCAAACAGGTAAAGACCTGTTGGAGTCTGTGTGATTGGGTACTGTAAGGTGAAAGTTTGATTTCAAGGTGTTTGGATTTTTGTGATTAGGGAGGAATACCGCCAGCAGCCCTTGGGCAGTTAAAGTACATCTGTAATCTTTTGCACCTAGAAACAAAACTGCGGACATTTCTTCTGAAACACGCCATTAACATTTTCTTTCACAATACATACTTCAAAAACAAACTGAAAATTCAGAATCCCAAAATCTAGCACACCATTCCCATTCTTGCAGTTCTCTTTAGCCCTGGCTGATCTTTTTTATCCGTACCTGATGACGATTTCACTGTCAGTGTGCGTTGGCGAGTAGACTCTGTAACTGCAGAGGTTGTTGGACTTTCAGGAGTCACAGACAAAGTAGGCACTGCAAAAACAAATCGAGAACTTGTCACAAAAATAGCACGCCCACCACGCCTCAGATTCAGAGAGCAAACCATTTTCAAACTCCACATCCTTTTGTGTAGTAATAGATAGAAGGCCATATTCAATACCCTGGGGTATTTTGTCAGCAAAATTTAAGAAACACATTTGTGATGATTGGCCAGCTCTTTGCCATGCATTAAGCAAAGTGCAAATCAAACAAGGCACGCTTTCATTATTTCTGCAGCATGAGATTCATTATCAGGTAGCAATTTATGCTGGTTACCATGGTTACATGAATGAAAAATTGTAGTCCTTTTAGTTTCTAGATATTTTCTCGAGATGCTGGTTCTCCGCATGTGACAGGTATCATGTATCGATACCGCAAGCATCAACATGGGTGTTGCCAGGATTTAGGGGAGGGGGGAAGAGCAACGCTCATCATCAGGAAACTGATGAATCCTAAGCACAGGAAGGGGATCAATTCAGAGTATTTTCAAGCAAATTGGTGATTTTCACCCCACTCCTTTTTTCATATTTCTAGCTTATGTGCATTTGTGTGTTTTTCTTCTTTAGGGGGAGGGAGGGAATGAGTATCCCTGCCTGACAATACCCAGGAGCATCCATGCCTCTTCATAGAAATTAGACAAGCCATACATGTACATATTTGCAGCGGTTGACATTGTCAAGGACATGTTTTATACACGTAGCTCAGTAAGGGAGGAATTACACATGTGGACATCACTAATGTTTCTCTACGGTATAAAAATACAGGCCTATCAGAATGAGGTAACTACAAATTTAGCTGGGAAAATTTTGAGGCCTTTATTTAGAAAACACAGGAGTTTGCAGTCAAGACAATGTGCATACATGGATCTCTTTCCTTCAATGACAAAATTTGCAAAGGGTTATTTCCATCCCTGAAATGGCAGAAAGTTGGAACCATGAACAGGAATATAAGGGGGCAGCTGTTTCACTCTGCTTAACATGTATAAAGAGACATGTATTACTGCTTAAAATGTTTGCTTTTCCCACTGACCTTGATGCATTTCAGCTGTTTATCTCAACCAAATTATACGCCTCAATTAGCCTACCAACAGTCACACTTTCATTGAATCTGTACATTTCATATTGGGTATTTTCAGTAAAATAATGGGAAAACAATTTCTGTATGCACATACAGTATGCACACGATACATGGTAATATTTGGGTGTGCATATTTCACCTGTTGCCGGCTTAATTGAAATGTTGATTTGCCAGATACACACTGAACATAAGCAGTGACTGTTTTTAGACTTACAAATTTTACCATCACAAATATCTTTGGTACTGTGCAAACAGTGTCATTGTATTTTCTTATTTAAAAGATAGGAATCGGACCATTTTACAATTTCAGACTTTTCTTTCTTAAAAAAATCCTCCAGGTCTATGAATCAAAAAAGAAAATGTAATCCTCCGCAATAAAATGCTAGAGTCAATAAATAATAATAGAATAGTCTTAGTTTTTAGGGAAGGAAAAAGTCATCACCTGGGATTCGAACCCAGCAGAGGAAATCTATCACTCAACCTTTCCAGACACACGAACTATGCACAACGTGTAGGCCACTGGTCTTAGTGTTTTATTTTCATAGGTGTACTTGTGTATATGCACCAGAGGGCACTGTCTATATAGCAAGAAAAATAATGTTTTATAAGTTTTTTAAGTTACTACATGGAAATACCTCAGAGACATTAAAAGGAGCTACTGTATTCTCCCATTCACTTTTTCCCACTGTCCAAATGATTAACCAATGTTGGTTAAGTTAAGTTAGACTGCCAGTTTTAGCATGGCATGCACGCGGCCGGGGCGCCAAGAAGACACGTTTTAGTTACTTACCACGCTCACCATGCTCACCGGTCGTTGCGCTTGGTTTCGTTGGGGCGGAAGAAGCAGCAGACAGCAGGCAAAATATCCACATCACTTGTAAAGTGTAATTTCTGTATCTCCATGACCATCTATGGTCAGCCCTTGCACCGTCTGGCCTGAATGTTAGCGAGACATTTCGACCTGTCCACCCGGGCGTTGCCATACTGCCCTGGCCCGAGCTCGCTGGCCCGCCAGACTTTCAGAACAGCAAACCGTCCAGTCCTCACTATAAATCGCAGGTTTGAATCATCCCTGACGGAGGCAAATTTACCTGCTTCTGGAAAATCGTTCATTCATCTTTCGACAGCAGAAACATTGCATTTCAGGAGCCATCTTTTGGGTTCTTTTTAACCTGAAACTGCAGAATTCTTCATGCCTTCTCGAGACATCCGACTTAGGTCTTTTTCAATATGGCGACTTTATTGTGTGTATTGTACTGCTTCTATTATGCATGTCGTAAACAGGTGGGGCTAGTCGATTACACAAAAAGGGGTCGCAGTATTACTAGTAGCAAATAAATAGTTCTATGCATATTGTCGAGAAACTACATAATAAATTTAGACATTAATTGTTTTTAAAAAATATATAGAAAATCTTTAATGGCGACTGAGTACATTGCTATCTCCAGTTTTACTATTTTTGTAGCGGCTGATCAAATCTTTCACCTATAAAACTTTTGTGGCGTGATCCTCCGAAGCGGCAAACGGCAAACAACCATTCATAAGCAAATATGCGCAAATTGGTCTGGAATTTTTCGTGCAATACGCAGTAAACAAGTCTTTCGAATACATTGTTGAAACATTTGGTGTCAATATCGGCATCCAGAGATAAACAACCAGAACGATGATGCGGAACTGTAACTAATCTGGCAAGAAATTTAGTCCCTTGTACATTTATTGAAAACCAAAACGAAGGACGTGTTTACTCCATAAAAGCTAAAATTACATTTCAGAAATGGATATTACTGGAAATGGATATTACTGGAGAGTGTGCAAGGAACGAGTCAATGCCCTGATATGCAAATATCGTTCACAGTTTACCTTGATCAAACAGATATGACTCACGGAAATAGCAGCGCCAAGGTTCATGAATTTTAATAGCTTTGGCAAAAGGGGAGGTGGAATGCGGCCGACGTGACCAGTGCGCTATTCTATGTACAGTAGCTTACCATTGTAAAACGCTAGCCAACTTGTTTCTACGAAGCCAGGTCATGCAAGCTGTGTGGGGTCTGCTTGAATCACAATGATCCCTAGAATATCGTGGTATTTCTCTTTCGTGAGTTGGGTACAAAGAAGTAGACCGCTTGCGCACTCGTGAGATGCACAGGGTACAAAAATGGCATCCACGACAAACACGTACTAAAGGATATAAATTACTGGAAACCTCCTTCGATCAATGGAATGCTTCTTTTAAGAGCTCCATTCGTTCGTGGTCATGCCAACGGGGTCCCTTTGGGTCTCATATCGTCTTGGCTTCAACGGAGAGTCAGTTGATTGTAAAAAATAATATAATGAAAAAGACAAATAAAAAAATTGAATATGGGGTGTACGCATTTAAGGCAAAAATTGATGCAATATATGTCAGTCTTTTTCTAGATAAACTTTCTTGCCAGGATTTTCAAAGAAGTAAACAAATATCAACTCATCTTTAGCTATGTTTGGTTTAAGTTACACAAAATGAACCAAAGTTGCCGCGCCCAAATTATAAATTAACGTTTGCCATTTGAAGGTGCACCAGCCTATGTTTCATTTCATATCATTTATTTCATTTCATTTTTAAAAAAATTTACTTACTGTAAATGTACGAAAAGGTAAGCATATAAGCATTTTAGAAAAACACGGGAATTTTGACCAGCTCCAGCTGGATTACCCCGCCAAAGGAATCATGCCCTTTGTCGAGGGGTTTTCCTACCGATTAAATAGAAAACACTAATAACTAATTTTATGTACAGTGTATGATAAAATCCTGAATAGTAGTGTGTATACATAAATTAATAGTCACAGAACCAGAAAGGGCTTAAAACTGTTCAAGTTGGTCTAATTTCAGCTGGGCGTAAGTAAGGCATGTGACTTGTGAGTTAGAACCCTTCATCATCATTGTCCCACTCAGCCGATTCATTCCCCGGCATCTTCGCTAAGTAGGCCTACATAAACTCTGTTTCTTTCGAAAAGATCATTGTTTGGGACGTAAATTTAATCTGCACAAATTTTCAACTGTGACATGGCGCACAGCATGGGACAGATAATTCGAGTAGTCTCAATTCACCGATTTTTGTTTATTCACAGCATGGCACAAGTTTGCACAATGATCATGGAGGTGGGAGATGTCAGAGTTTTGGTGTTCCTACATTAAAAAAAAATATACATAATCATTTATTACTTACATTTTCTACAAATTCAATTATTAGTTGAAAAATAAATCGCTGAAAGAACTGAAATAAGTCAAAAACGCATAGCTATCGATGCAGTGCAGACCGGCAGTGTTCTGCATCGTAACTACCGCCGTGCATTGGGTAGGCCCGAGGTATTATTGGAAATAATTGTCCACCTTTTTCTACAAAGTTCGAGAAATTGTAATTTTTCTACCAAATTTATTTTCTTAGGTATGTTACAGACTGGGTCAGTGGCATACTAAAATTAGGGTGAACAAAGGCCATAAAATTTGAAAAGGGCGCCCTGTTTATTCAAATATTTTGTCTGTTAATCAATAAATGTCTTCATTGGCAAAGACACTTTTTAAATTAGTTTAAATTTTTTATCTCGGGAAGAAAAAAAGTAATAGGCCACAAATTCATATCGAGTAACTACGTCATGGTGGCCAGCTGAATCAAGCTACCAATGCGAACTCAATTGGGCACAGTGCTGTAGTCGGGGGGGGGAACTGTCCTCGTAGAAATTCTTGCCCTCCCCTCCACCACCGGAAAATCGGGATTTGGGGGGAACTGCCGCCACGTCATTTGAAGTGTGTTGATAGACATTACTTTAGAGTAGACATGCACCTTTTGGGTTCTTGAACAGCTGTCAATTGCACAAACTCAGTGGCATGGCAGGGGCGTGGCAACTCCCCTTGCGAGACCCCCCTCTCCTCCCTCTGAGAGCTCGGTCAAGCCGCTGGTTTGGGAAAACGCATAAATCGTCCTCCAAGTCGAAGCCTGTACCGCACCGGCGGCCAGATGGAGGGATATAGGTTTAATGAGCTGCTCCTGTGCCCCACTGATGAGATGCACGTCTCCAACTTGATGCTTCTACAAAGTGCCAGTTTATTAATCTGGTTGGCTTGATTGGCAAGATCGATCGATCAGAATCTGGGACATTAATTTTTATCGGAAATGCCAGCTCGAGTTTTTGCGTATTGATACGTTCCAACAAATACCTGAAACAGGTGTGTATCCAGGAAATTTTTCAGGGGGCTCAATCCAGAGCTTTTTTTAGTGTCTCATTTTTGCGGACAAGCGGAAACGATGATAAAACATTACATGACACACATTGCTTACTAAGGTATTAGTGTTGCTGAATGAGTCATGTGACTTGGACCAGGACTCGAGTCGCTATTTTTGTGATTTGTGACTTGACTTGTAAATACCAGCTTTGACTTGTGACTTGATTCGGACTTGCATGTAATGACTTGTTACCAACCCAAGTCAGACGCTACTCGACCGGCCCCATGTATCTTAAATTAAGCTCTTCAGTTTACACCTTATAATTACGTACATAAGAAATGGACTTCGGCTTACGCGGCTTCTATTTAACCTTGCTGCAGCATTCATATCACGCTGCTACGGTGCGTTTCGTTGACGCGTGTCTAGGATAAGCAGCGCCCTCAATATGTTATCCTATATCTCAACGCTTATTTTCCACCCTACAAAGTAAATTTTATTAAATTAAAGAGAGGTGCAATATACAACAGATACGTGATAGACTGCAAGAATAGTAATTACAACACAAGTGAAAAGGGGAATTACGGAGGCATTGTCAAAATAATTGGAGAAAAGGTGTTTAGCTGTCCGAAATTCATAACTCGTAACTTCGTAAGTTGACGCCTGGTTCTCTTTGCTTAAGTTACAGCTGGACAAAATAATGTGCAGCTTGACATGTACTTGGACTAACAGACTTGTGACTTGACTTGTGTTTAGACTAAATGACTCATGACTTGACTTGACTTGACTTACGGTGACCAAATGACTTGTGACTGGACCTAATGACGTGTGACTTGACTTGGACTTGCATATAATGACTTTTGACTTGACTTGCAAAAAATAACCTGCTGCCACCTCTGGTATTTTTGTACGCATAAAAAGAATCCACAGGATGTCATTTGGTTTTTACATTTGCTTTAGTTATTGTGTGGGTATAATCCTCCCTCCCCCTTTTGTAGTACCTTTTTTGGGGTCTCAGAGCGGGGTGGGGGGGGGGGTTCGACACCTCCACTCCTCAGATCCCCCCTGCATAAAACATGATTACTTGCAGTTTTGTTGGCATATAGATCAGGTTTGATTGCAAAGGAGATTTTCTACAAATTGGGCTGTGGAACTTTTATTGCGTATATTAATTAACTTAGTGCACAAGTAGAATTCCACTCGTTACCAAGCCGCACTGACTTGATAGCTAGGATTAGAAAATAATACTGGAATAAAAACAAACACCTTAATCGAACTCTGATTTCATGGTGAAGTTGGGTACCGTCAAAACTCTATAAACGACCTAGCAATGTTTTTAAATCCCCATAACTCTTTCCCCTAGAACATCCAAAATATTCGTTCATTATGTCGGAAAGCTGTTACTTTTAGTTTTTTGATCGTGTAATTGTTGGCTGCATGCAGTGGGCTCGCCGTAGGAGTCAAGGACTATAGAGGGCGGTCTTTAACTTTAACGGAACCCAGGCATTAATTTTGAGAGGACAGATCGGATCACTAGTTTAATAGTTACGACAGGTACTGCTTAAGTGCTCGTGCCAGGCTGAAGTGAAGGTAGGCCTACATTGTACATGTACATGTACGTAGGATCATAGAGCTGGGTTTGTAGCTCTATGGTAGGATGGAATACAATTTTAATGGGCTGATAATCTTGTCCGAGTCTTCCATGTTGATTATCTGTATCTGTATGATATAGTCAGCAAAGCATCCAGAGGACTCACTCCAACTTCAGTATTCTCGAGGTCGGAGGTCAGTCACATTCTGGGCAAAGGGGCAACTCTCCATTCACTCTGTCTGTACGGGGGTTTGCATGTTTTCCTCTTTTTTGGCAGAAACCTGATAGAAACAACTAAAACCTTTTCAGTACAGTGTGGGATATATTTATAGCGCATAAATAGTGAAATTTCAGGCACTGAAAGGTTAAGAGTTTGAGTCAATAATTCAGATTTTCTCCATAGACCGCTGCACTATTTTTTGCCCTGTTGAGTTTTTAGTGTGAAAGATGGAATAGCCATCAATTGACCAATCAGAGAGAAGAATCAAGAATCAGTGACGTCATCCCGACCTTGAGAATAAGGCGTGCGCCTCGCGTAGGGAGATTGACACAAATACATGTAATTATAAACCAACCCAACATTTCCAACAACAAAAAAAATGTTTGTCATGGTGCCAGGTGCTTTACAAATTGTTGAAAAGAAATCCAGCAGCTTGTCTTTGGATCTGTTTGAGACACTGAATGTCAGACACCAAGTGGGGATCCCAGGCAGATGATGAATATTCTAGCGTAGGTCGAACCAATGTGAAGTACGCTGCTTCTTTGACCCTTGGAGTGCAGCTCCAGAGATTTCTCCTCAGGATATTTAATACCCCCTGAGCTTTCTTACAGGTTTCAGGTATATGAGTGTGTTTCCTCCATGTCAAATATATTTTAGGCTGTTTACACTATTTAAGTTTTCACTGCAAAAATTATAGATGGTTTTGATTGGTGCCCTGGTGTCTATGGATTTGGCTGGATTAAATTTCATGCCCCAGCTTGATTGCCCCTTTTCTAGTCGGTGAATGTCTTGCTGTACATGTAATTGGACCTTACCCCTGCTATGCAAAAGACAGTCATCAGCAAAGAGACGAATGCCTAAAGCAAGGTTATCTGGAAGAGTATTTATATACAGCAACAATGACAACGGGCCAATTACTGATCCTTGGGGGACTCCAGATGTTACTGGTACAAAATCTGAAGCCTGACCGTCTAAAACTACTCTTTCAAAGAGTTTCGTCCGGACAGGAAACTTTGAATCCACTGATGCAACGGTTTTACAATGCTGTAGTGTCTTAATGTGTTTAGCAGAAGATTGTGTGGGACTTTATCGAAAGCCTTCATAAAGTCAAGTACTGCTATATCAACTGTTTGCTTTTTGTCGATTAATCTGCCTATGTCATGCAAGGTCGTGATAAGTTGAGTTTCTGTTGATGTCCTGGTCCGGAAACCATGTTGGCAATCTGCTAGAATGTTACATGTATATCTGTCAAGATGTTTCATTGTATGACTAAGGACATATGTTCGAGAACTTTAAAGAGGACGGAGGTAAGAGACGCGGGACGGTAAATTGTAGGATCTGAACATGCCGCTTTCTTGACTGCGGTAACATTTTCTGTCTTCCATACTGATGGGACTATCCCAGTATTCACTGAATTTTGAAACAGGTCTTGGAGAATGGTGCTAGTGGTTATGCAACAAGTTTTAACAACCATGACAGAACATTATCTGGCCCCGGTGCTTTACATGGAATAAGTTCCTTAAGTTGTTTTTCGACACCCTTAACAGAAATTTGCGATGGTGAGATTCCAGGACATACATCTCTATGAATCATGACATCTGTTGTTGCTTGAACTTCATTTGGGAAAACACCCTGAAACTGCTGATTTAAAAAATTGGCTTTGGCTTTGCCGTGTCTCCATCTTTCAGATCAAATACTCCAACATTCTCCCTCTGAAACTTTTTTACGAATGACCAAAAGGTTTGGGGATTTGCCTTAAAATTCTCTTGGAGATGTGAATTTATATGCTGGGTCCTTGCCTTGCGGAGGTGATTTTTAATAGCCTTGCTAGATTGCTTAAAGGCTTGCCAATCTTTTTCCTTATTTCCTTTTTTGCCATCTTGTAGAGATGTCTTTTTCTTGTGTATTTTATTTTAAGATCATTACTGAATCATGGTAAATTAGATCTTCTTGATGTCAACTTGTGGAATATGCTTTTCCAAAAGATCAAGTAATACCTGTTGGATGTGCTTCCATTTAAAATCTTTAATAATTTACCTTCTGTTGCTGCGTTGTAGAGTGACTGATAGGCCTTAATGTCATTTACCATCCCTTCTGTGTTTGCTTTTTGCCTCATATAAATTTTCCTCTTGAGTTGCTCTTCCTCTTTGGAGCTACATCAATGTCAACTCAAACCACGTCGTGGTCAGAAATTCCTTCCACAATCTCAATGTTCTTTAACACACCCTGGTTATTCACAAGAACTAGATCAAGGATATTACATGTGTCTCCCTGTGACTGAGTCGGCTCTTTGACACATTGCTTGAAGCCATATTGAGTAACCATCTTGATGAGATTTTCATGGTGAAAGACAGCAATAAGTGGAAAGGCTTGCAGCAGCACCATGCAAAGGAATATATATCTCTTATGAGTATGTGTGGTTCTGAAAAGAACTGGGAGTATGCTTCACTTATTGCCATCTTGATGAGCTTATCTCCACCCGTCTTGCTATAGCCTTGTGATCCTATAACAGTGTAATTATTCCACTTTATGTTTGGCAGTTTAAAATCTCCCAAAATAGCAACTACATTATAGTTCATATTTTCCCTTTAAGTACGGCCACAGATTTTGTCAGCTCGTCAATTTGTTGACCACATTTGTCATCTGGCAGACGATAATGTTTTCCAATCATGACTGCTTTGGATTTGCCATTTGTGGTTTCCATCCATGTATGTATAACTTCACAGTTACTGTCCATGTTGGAACCTTCATTTGACACCAACTCAGTTGAAACTGCCTGAAGCACCCCCTCGCTGTGGTGTTTGTATCTCTATCCTTCCTCAAGACTTTGTATTTTAAATATTTCACTACTCGCTATGGTTGAATTAGGCCATGACTCTGTACCACAATATCAGGTTGATGCACCTGTATGAGGACTTGTACATGTAGATCAGCCACTTTTCCTTTCATACTTTGACAGTTGATCAGTAGACAATGTAAAATTCTCTTGACAGAATGTTGATGGTTCCCCTCCAATTGTGCGGATCCTTCAAACTATTTTTGCCATATATCGGCCCCAGCCACGTCTGCACCACTTTCTAACACATGGTTTTCAAAGAACAAGTCAGAAAGTTTGAAAGTTCACAATATCAATGGGGGGGAATCTCAGCCTTGTTTTCGGGGAGGGAGGCTTGGCTAGCATGACTTTTGTAAAATATGGAAACAATTTTGGTCTCACGGTAACAAGTACCAGAAACATCTTCAACAGTACTGATAACCTGGCTGAAGGACGTTAGCCGTAGCTTCAAATCGGAAAGAATTCCATATGGACGCCACTGGCACTTGACGTCTAGTCAGTTCACTAATCCTGCATGTGTATAGGCCTAACTGGTCTGAAATATTGTGCCCTCTAAAAAGCTCTAGTAACGTGTCCAAGTGAATACCTTAAGGATGGACGCCGCTTGACACCTTGTCAACGGGCATGTCAGGTCATCATGCCTGTGCACATACCCTATAACGCTGATCTGAAAAATTCCAAGCATTTTCTGCATGAATACCTCAATATTTTCCCTCCTAAATTTGACTTTTTAAGACAAGTACAGACCTCCTAAGTCTCACGCATCCAGCATGACAGTCATGCCTCAAGGCTCTTTCTCATGCTCACACGTGTGGCAACCATTTTCTCATGCCCAGAGCCAGACCATAAAAAAAATTCAAATGCAATTGGCGAGTCAATGATATAGCGTGGACGACTGCTGCCGCCTAGCTGGATAGCTGTAATACAATGTGCATATGAGTAGTATATATGCAGTACCGTGTACATGCAGTGGCACATGATCACTGGATCTATTTCTGCAGTAGATCGTACTTGATGAGGCCACAGCTCCACAGCGCTATATACGTTATTATAGAGTCGGTAACATGGTCCAATAGGCAGTTAAGCGTGCGCACGCCACATGTTGTTTGAAATGAGAAGATGGACACCCACACTAGTGACTCAGACAGCGAGAGATTGCCTCAGCCTAGCAAGAAAACAAAACTGACTGCTGGGGGAAAAAAATTGGCGCTGCTAAATTCAAGAGCAAATTTTCTGAAGATTGGACAGGCACATTTCGGGACTCTGTTGTTTTTAAGAATAAGTTCAAATAGTCTGTTTATGCACACTACATCGCTTAATTTTGAGCTAAAAAATGCTAAAGCTCCCTACCATAGGAAAAGTGTGACAATTTTCCTGCTATTGCACGCTTTAGCAGCCTTGTAGTTTGGGTTTTCTCTAATTGAAAGGTTTGGGTTCTTGGAGTTTATGGACACATTTTGAGAGGTTGTGCAAATGATCAAGACTTGACTTTGGGCGAATAGTTGTTTTCATTTCTTGACCAAACATCAGCAGGAGACAGGCAACAGCTTGTGCTAGATGAAATCAATCACTTCTTATTTGCGATGGGAGAATTTAGGGAAGCCCTTTTCCCCCACATTTAATATACTGCCTAAAGCGTAATGTGCATGTCTTATTGCTGTCTTGTACTTACACAGATTTTTGAACTTGCAAAGTGCCCCTGATGTCTCAGCATGGTTAACTTTACCTTCCAAGACCTCCAGCGATTGAGTGGAGACTCAGAGGCCTACTCTGAGATGCAGGCACAGGCTGAGTACATCCAGACATCTCCTAAAATAATCTTCCTGCCGTGCCGTCTTCAGTTTGTGCGAAATGTCAAGGGATATTTCTACCTGGGTTTCATTGTCTTCACGTGGGCCTACAATACCTACATTGTGCCCAAACTTGTTCTCCTGCCTCAGTATAACGAGGCCAATATAAGCATGCTTCCTGTTTTGTGTAAGTGATTACATGTATAGTGGTTCATTGAGGCAAGTTTGAGTGAAGACCATTTGTTGGTGATTAGGTAAGGTTTAGTTGGTACAGCCTGGTAACCTGTGAACAACATAGATCCTGGGTATCAGGCAGAATTGACCAGTGGTCAACAAATGGTCATCACTCAAATTTGCCATAGAATGAGATTTCCAGGAAATCTCTACAAAACAACATCACGCCAAGCAATTCCACTCATGCTCCCCGGCAGCATTGTGTCTGTGTTCGGGGTACGTCAGAGGTGCAGCCAAATGGGGATTTTATTGTGGAACAAACCATCACATGTCCAACATGTCCAATGGGTTTTCACTGTCCATGAACCCCCAACCAAGCCTAGCAGGTTTTTTCCTTCTCATTAGGTGTGCCTGTGGGTCCCCTTTACCCTTTGGCTCTCTGCTTGATGTTCACTGTGGTAATAACCTCACCCTCTTGACATAATCCATTGAGTATGCATACATCCCACTCTACCTTGGCATCCTACCTGCTAGAATCTCCTGCCTTAACAATCCACCAAGTTAATCCATCTAGCACTGAAGCCCGGCAACCACTACTAAAGGTCCTACACCAGCCCGATAGTCCGATAGTCTCGTAATGAGCAGAGCACACTAACCAAACCTTCTGTCATTATCCATGCTTTCCAAACAATCATACCAAGCCTCCATCCTGGATGGTGCAATTACCGTTTCTTAGATTTTGGCTTTTAATTGCTTGAAAAAAAAACAACAAAAAAGCATTATGTCACAAGGGTTGCCATGTCCCCCCCCCTTCCATCCCTTTCTGAACTTCTTTGAATCCCCTAAATCCTCCGCTGAGCAGAAATACTATGGCCCATTGCTACATACATGTACTGCATACATGTACAACAATTTTCAAGTGCCATCCATGCCTGCCTCAATCCTGCAAAATCCTCCCAAACTTTTAGATGGATATTTAAGAACCTACGTTGACTGGGGCCAAGCCAACAAAACTCTCCCCAGTTTTGTTATTGAAGACAAAGAAGAGGACCTGATAATTTCAGCAACCAAACTTACCGGTAGGGCCTCAATTCAAATCATAACTGGAGCCGTTTCCAGCTTTTCCGCCAGTATTGTTGTCAACTCATTTCACGCTCAGGACTAGACTTGAAATACTAACACCTGTCCAACTCTAAAAAGGGTCCATTCACAAATCTGTTGGTTAGAAAGGTAAGGGCTGTGAGTCGCACCTTTACATTGAAGTGATGTAGTATGCATACCTTACCACACCATGTAACACATTGTCCTCGTGTGAGCCATCTGTTTACGGCTGAAGGTTTGACACCAGATGCAAAAGAGACTGCTTTGTTTTTGTGCTCTCTTGCAGGTTACTATGCAGTCTCATTGTTCACTGTTGTTGCGTTGTTCAGGTCTGCCACTAGTGACCCAGGGCGTTTGCCCTTTGACCTCAAGCCAACAACCTCTGGTGAGTTGTACTTCATAGAAAAAAAGAGACTTGGTGCTCTATTAAGAGACGTTCCCATAACAGCACTATCCAGAGTGCCTACAATGCAGTTTAACTTGTTACACCTCTTCGTCAGACCTTGTGATGTGCCTGAAACCCCATTCTGCTTGCTGGAGTGTTCAACCTTCCCATCCTCTACCACAGAAGAATTGTTAACGACTGTTTGTTTTTGTATAAACATATCAATAATCACTTCAGTTTAAGTGACGCTAATCCATTTAATCTTGATGTTCCCCAGCACCGTCCTAGATTGGCTGCCATTAAACCGCATTCTACACATTCCATGGAGTCGGGTGGAGGCAACCAAACAGTGCTTTGTCTCGAGAATTTTGTCTACCTACAACCGGCTTCATGGAAAGTGTGATGTGTTGGCATGCCCACAGTACGCTGTTTTCGTACCCAGTTATATAAAGCCCTGTAGACGTGAAGGTACAACGTATATATAAGTTCTGCTACCTGTTTGGCATTCCTGAAACTGTGATGTGTATGAAGAAGTTATCAGATTGTATGTACAGTACATTTTTTGTAATACTTTGTGTTTACTCAGCCCTATGATTCTTTCCTAAAGTGATACTATTACTCCAACTTTTTTCCATCCCTTTAATCCCTGTTTCGGCCCTCACATCTCCACTGTTCAACTTTGACTTCTGTTTCCTTTGATCTTTGCCCTCCCTGGTCTCCGCAATGTTTACCCTTGTGTTTTGTTCCCCCTTGCCTCAGTTCTTTGTTCACACACCCATGCACGTTCCA